ATGCCAAAGAATGTTCAAACTACTGCACAACTGCACTCATCTCACACACTAGCAAAGTAATGCTCTAAATTCTCCAAGCCAGGCTTCAACAGTACATGAACCAAGAACTTTCAGATGTTCAAGCTGGATTTAAAAAAGGTAGAGGAACCAGAGATCAAATTGCCAACATCTGCTGGATCATAGAAAAGGCAAGAGAATTCCAGAAAAACATCTACTTCTGCTTCATTGACTATGCTAAAGCTTTTGCCTGTGTGGATCACAACAAACTGTGGGAAATTCCTAAAGAGATGGGAATACCAGACTACCTGACCTGCCTCTTGAGAAATCTGTATGCAGGTCAAGAAGCAAAAGCTAGAACTAGACATGGAACAACAGACTGGTTCCAAATTGGGAAAGGAGTACTTCAAGGTTGTATATTGTCACCCTGCTCATTTAACTTCTATGCAGAGTACCTCATGCAAAATACTGGGCTGGATGAAGCACAAGCTGGAATCAAGATTGCTGGCAGAAATATCAATAACCTCAGATATGCAGATGACACCACCCTTATGGCAGAAAGCGAAGAGGAACCGAAGAGCCTCTTGATGAAAGTGAAAGAGGAGAGTGAAAAAGTTGGCTTAAAGCTCAACATTCAGAAAACTAAGATCATGGCATCTGGTCCCATCACTTCATGGCAGATAGATGGGGACAACACAGGAAACAGTGACAGATTTTATTCTTCTGGGCTCCAAAATCACTGCAGATGGTGACTGCAGCCGTGAAATGAAAAGATGCTTGCTCCTTGGAAGAAAAGCTATGACAAACCTAGACAGCATATTAAAAAGCAGACATTACTTTGCCAACAAAAGTCCATGTAGTCAAAGCTATGGTTTTCCCAGTGGTCATGTATGGATGTGAAAATTGGACCATAAAGAAAGCTGAGCACTGAAGAATTGATGCTTTTGAACTGTGGAGTTGGAGCAGCCTCGTGAGAGTCCCTTGGACTGCAAGGACATTAAACCAGTCCATCCTAAAGGAAATCAGTCCTGAATATTCATTGGAGGGACTGATACTGAAGCTGAAGCTCCAATACTTTGGCCACCTGGTGTGAAGAACTGACTCACTGGAAAAGACCCTGATGCTGGCAAAGATTGAAGGCAGGAGGAGAAGGGGATGACGGAGGATGAGATGGTTGGATGGCATCACCGACTCGATGGACATGAGTTTGAGTAAGCTCTGGGAGATAGTGATGGACAGAGAGGCCTGGCGTGCTGCAGTTCATGGGGTCGCAGAGAGTCAGATAAGACTGAGTGACTGAACTGAACTGACATTCAGAAGGACAGAAAAGAAATTTACAATTACCAAAAGGGAAAAGGGGTAGGGAAGGGATAAATTAGGATTTGGGGATTAGCAGATACAGTTTACTATATATAAAACAGATAAACAAAAGGGCCTACTACTCTATAGCACAGGAAACTCTAATATCCTGTAAGAAACCAAGCTGGAAAAGCACATGAAAAAGATAGTATATGTGAATCACTTTACCGTACACTAGAAATTAACACAACATTGCAAATCAACTATACTTCAATTTTTAAAAAATGTGTTTTAAAAGTACATTTGTAAGACTATAATAATGTCAATATCCTGATGTGATCTTACACTGTAATTTTTCAAAATATTATCACTGGTGGAAACTAGGCAAAGTGCATAAGGCATCCTGTCTTATTTCTTACAACTGCATGAAAATACATAATTATCTCAACAAAAAGTACATTTTAAGCCAATAATTTAGGATATAAAAGCAATTTTTTCATAGACTGTCATAAACAGCAGTTAGTTCTAAGATCAACCCTTAGCATTAAAAAAAAATTTTATTTTTTTAATTTTTTGGCTGTACCACACAGCAGGTGGGATCCTAGTCCCTGACCAGGAATTGAACCTCCACTCTCTGCAGAGGAAACACAGAGTCTTAACCACTAGACCACCAGTGAAGTCCCATAATTTTTTATTTTTATTTTTTCACATCAAGAATAGTCCAAATTTTATTTTTTAAAAACACAATTTTTAAAAAATTTATGATCCTCTTAGTATTAAGTATAAACGTGAATGACTCAGGCATACATTATATTTAGTATGAATTAAAGCAACAATTTCCTATCTTGTCACTCTTTTAATGTCTCCGACTCACCATTCACTGAATTACAAACCTGGTTATATTATCTCCTAGCTTGAAATCCTCCAGTAGTTTCCCAGGAATAAAGCCCAAAGTCTTCCTATTATACACAAGGCTCTTCAAGATGGGGCTCCTGTCTACTTGTACGACCTTCAGTACCTCCATGGGTCCCGAACATGCCGCTCTCATCCCCAAGACTGCACAGCTGTCTTCTCTACCTGGAATGCCCTTTCTCACTCTCCACCTGGCAAACACCTGCTTGTTCCTTGCTTTTCTTGACACTGATCATCTCTTCACACTGTTCCTGGGGTTCCCACAGCAAGAATACTGAGGTGGTTTGCCACTTCCTCCTCAAAGACTGAAGGCAAAAGGAGAAGGGGGTGGCAGAGGATGAGATGGTTGGACAGCATCACCAACTCAACGGACATGAGTTTGAGCAAACTCTGGGAGATACTGAAGGACATCGGAGCCTGGAGCGCTGCAGTCCGTAAGCTTACAAAGAGTCAGACACGATTTAGCGACTGAACAACAACCATCATCCCTTCTCCAAGGCCTTCAGTGGCCTTCCTGCCCCAGTAGAGCAAGGCCTGCCTTCCCTTTCTTCGTGGTCTTAGGGGCCCTTGTTCCCATTCCAGCAGTGACCGAGGGGACACGTTCTCAGCAGCTGCCAGCCCCCGGAAGGCGCACTAAAGGCCTGTCCCCTTGTATCCCCAACACTGGCACTTGGAAAGCACTCGAGTGTTTGCTGAAAGAATGACAACGATGACTTTCAAGGGCTTCTGTGATTCCATGGAAGAGCAATGGTAAGCTATGCCAATGACAGAAATCAGTTAGAAAAAAATGAACAAATAGTGATTTGATAGAGTCAGAAATTTAAGGGGATGAAGCAACAGTGACTGTAAAGAACTGGTTGAGAGGGTATCAGGTATACGATATTATAAAAAGGAACAAGTTGCACAGCAAAGGAAACAAGATTAAAAGACAACCCTCAGAATGGGAAAAAATAATTGCAAGGGAAACAACTGGATTAATCTCCAAAACACACAAGCAGCTCATGCAGTTCAATACCAGAAAAGCAAACAACCCAATCAAAAAATGGGGGGCAGACCTACACAGACATTTCTCCAAAGAAGGCATACAGATGGTGAACAAACACGGAAAAAGATGCTCAACATCACTCATTATCAGAGAAATGCAAATCAAAACTACAATGAGGTATCACCTCACACAGGTCAGAATGGCCATCATTAAAAAATCTGCAAACAATAAATGCAGGAGAAGATGTAGAAAAAAGGGAACCTTTTTTCATCACTGGTGGGAATGTAAATAGTCATTATGGAGAACAATATGGAGATTCCTTTAAAAACTAGGAAAAGAACTACCATATGACCCACCAATGTCACTACTGAGCATAAATGCTGAGAAAACTATAACTCAAAGAGACGCATGTACTCCAATGTTCATTATAGCACCATTTACAATAGCTGGGATATGGAAGCAACCTAGATGTCCACCCGCAAATGAATGGATACAGAAATTGTGGCACAATAGACAATAGATATTACTCAGCCATAAAAAAGAATGTATTTTAATTATTGAATTAAAATGACATACTTTTAAAGGACTGACTTTCCCACACACTCTGTATATTTTTTTGTTTAATGAGAAATGGAAAGGAGTCATTCATATTGTATTAAGTTTCCAAAGCTGTACTAACTGGAGAATTTATTTATGAGGAAAGCCCTAAGAGCTAAGACAGTAACCATTAAGAGCTAAAGAGAAAACTCACAAATAAATTTCCTTTCTGCCTTTAAAAGTGAAAATAATGGTAATACTCAATATTTAACTAGTACCAGGTACTGCTCTAAGTGCTTTGCAAAAAAACTGAGGCACAGATCAATAAATTACATTTCCCAAAGTTTATTTAGCATGTAAGCAGTGGAACCAGGATTCATACTGGAACTCTGACTTTTTAAAAGTACACATCTAGGGACTTCCCTGGTGGTCCACTGGCTAAGACTCTGTGTTCCCAATGCAAAGGGCCTAGGTTCAATCCCTGGTTGGGGAACTAGATCTCATACACTCCAACTAAGATCTGGTAAAGTCAAATAAAAATAATAAATAATTTTTAAGTACATATCTAAATCAATTTCTTAGGAAATTTCTTTTATAATTGGTTAACTTCAATAGAAACAAATCTGGGGTTTTTTTGGCCATGCTGCATTGCTTTTGAGATCTTAGTTCCCTGACCAAGGATCAAACCTGCAGTGGGCTCCCTGCAGTAGAAGTATGGAGCCTAACTACTAGACAGCCACATATCTGTTAATTCTAATGTTATCCTAAGTATGTGATTCTTAATCTAAAATCATAAAAATGTGACATATCCTACTATAAACATATATATATATTTATATATAAATAACTATATAATAAAAAAAGTCAGGAAAACAAAGTACCCTGATTAATTCTATATAAAATTATTTCCTAGGAACAAATAAAGCAATATATGTGTGAAACTTTCTTTGTAAATTATATCATTACTTGGTAAATAATCCATATGTTTAAAGTTCTTTTACTATAATTTACAAAGAAAATTTTCAAATATATAGATAGACTACTAAGAAAGTAGTTCTTTTCAACCACCAAGTACTTTTTTTAACCACCATTAGGGAGTAACTGCAGTTTAAGACTGTGATGAAAGTAGTTTTATATGGGAGACATTTAAAAAGAGAAGGTGGATTAAAATGTAACAAAAAAAAAAGGATGTTACAATTTAACATAAATAAAAATAAGCATGTAACATACACTGGCTAAAAATCAATACAGAGTCTTCTCCTTAACTTACCTGCCAAATACAGGGCAAATGATATAAATCTGTGGTAGCGAATGAGGAACTGAAGTTGCTCTTCTCTTTGAACAAATGTAGCAAAATAATCAGCCACAGTCTCTCCATAGAAAAAGTAGTTCACACACAACAGAAAGTACCTGTAACATTAAAACAATTAGCTTCTTTATATTTGAAACATTTTCCCCCTCAAACCCAGCAAACCTATTTTCTACTTTTGATGATGACATAGATCAAAACTAAGTTTTGAACATAGGTTTATGATATATTCCACCAAAATCCTTTTTTATCCCTGTTTTAAACTTAATTTCAAACTTACCAGTGAACAAAAATGTACTGAGTAGTTCATGCCTTTATTTAGCTCAAAATCTAATGCCAGAGACAGAAAATTAGGAAGCAGTGTAGAAAATACTACACACACACAGAGTATTAAGTTTATAATGAAAATGCATTCCCAACATCTCCCTAATGCTTTTTTTTTTTTTTAAGAATTTTTTTATAGCGGTCATTTTTTTAAAAGTCTTTATTGCATTTGTTACAATTTTGCTTCATTTTTTTATGTTTTAGTTTTTGGCCACAAAGCACATGGGCTCTTAGTGCACCCGGACCAGGGACTGAACCTGTACCCCCTGCACAAGAAGGCAAAGCCTCTACCACTGAACCACCAGCCAAGTCCCTCTAATGCTTTTTAATAGTAGAGCTCCTAAGCCAAATTCCCGCCTGCCCTAACAAAGATCAATGGGAAAATAGGGAAGAAGTAATTTGACCTCTCACCTCCTACTCTGTCCTGCCCACACTGGATCTTGCCCCCTTTTCTCAATGCTCCAGATGGACTCTAGTTGAATAAGTGACTCAAAAAGGTAGCAGTGGGGGTTAGGAGCTAGCTGCAGGTAAAAATCTCTGGGGAAAAACTTTAAAAATGGGGAACACATGTACACCCATGGCTGATTCATGTAAATGTATGGCAAAAACCACTACGATATTGTAAAGTAATTAGCCTCCAATTGAAATAAATAAATTTTAAAAAATGGAGAATGTAAAATTTGAAAAAAACAAACAAACAACACAAACACTTTATGAATGGCCTGCCCCTTCTGCCAGCGCTGGTTTATCCTTTCCCCCAGGGAGAAGTTGAACTCACAAGACTTTGCTGATGGGAGCACGTGTAAGCCAGGAAAACACATTAAGAAACACTGCCTCGGGGTTCCTCCCGGATTCCTCCTTTAGAAAGACCGTGACCTAGGGAGCCGGAAGGTCAGTAGAAGAGAAGAGGGGTGGTGGTTCCCTCTGGTCCTCATGAATGGAATCAGACCCCACTGTTTCCAAAGGGAAGCACATCATGTTTCCACATTACCATGTCTCACTCTCCTATAATGGAGATTTGTCTGTGACACCTTTGTAAGGCTATCAAGGCCTACCTTGATAGGCCATCAAACCATCATTTTTGTTTTTGGCCATGCCCCTCTGCATGTGGGATCTTAGTTCCCCAAACAGGGATTGAAATGTCCCCTGCACTGGACGCTTACAGTCCTAACCACTGGGCCGCCAGAAAGTCCCTCACCAGTCCAACTTTTGGGCCACTATTCCCTCCCACTCGGGAGAGCCAAGAAGATCTCACCACCTGTGGCAGGTGCCTCCTCTGCCCCCCATCTAGAACCTGATAGGTGCTGCTTCCCCAGCCCAGAACATCCTTCTCCATCCAAAGCCTGTCTTCATTTCTAGTAACAGTTTCTCTGTCACCTTCTCCGTGAGGCCTCTACAATCACTGGAGCCCATCTTGACCTACCCTTTTCCCCCTTACACTTAGAATCAATCCTGCATGGGTTAAACTACTCTCCAAATACTTTAACATTCATTGGAAGGACTGAGGATTAAGCTGAAGCTCTAATACTTTGGCCACCTGATGAGAAGAGTTGACTCACTGGAAAAGACCCTGATGCTGCGAAAGACTGAGGACAGGAGAAAGGGACAACAGAGGATGAGATGATTGGATGGCATCACTGACTCAGAGGACATGAGTTTGAGCAAACTCCAGGAGATGGTGAAGGATGGGGAAGCCTGTCGTGCTACAGTCCAGGGGTTGCAAAGAGCTGGACACAACTGAGTGACTAAACAACTAGAACTTAATCTGCCTAACATTCCCGGTACACACTGCGACTCATGAAGAAACTTTCCAGAAGGAAAAATTAGGTGTTCATAAAACCAAGAAACTGTTTTTGACTACTGTAAACCCAAAAGGTGATGCCTGTTTTAAAAAGACACTGCCTGTGGTACATATACACCATGGAATATTACTCAGCCATTAAAAAGAATTCATTTGAATCAGTTCTAATGAGATGGATGAAACTGGAGCCCATTAAACACAGCGAAGTAAGCCAGAAAGATAAAGACCATTACAGTATACTAACACATATATATGGAATTTAGAAAGATGGTAACGATAACCCTATATGCAAAACAGAAAAAGAGACTCAGATGTATAGAACAGACTTTTGGACTCTGTGGGAGAAGGCGAGGGTGGGATGTTTCAAGAGAACAGCATCGAAACATGTATATTATCTAGGGTGAAACAGATCACCAGCCCAGGTTGGATGCATGAGATAAGTGCTCGGACCTGGTGCACTGGGAAGACCCAGAGGGATTGGGCAGAGAGGGAGGTGGGAGGGGGGATCGGGATGGGGAACACATGTAAATCCATGGCGGATTCATGTCAATGTATGACAAAATCCACTACAATATTGTAAAGTAATTAGCCTCCAACTAATAAAATAAATAAATAAATAAATAAAATAAAAAGACACTGATACTAATCAAACAACTACTGATACATTCAAAGACATGGACTGTTAATTATGAACTATCATATTATGTTTCATGGTAAAGGTCCTGATAACTAAGAATCCTGAAAAAACTTAAAAATATATAAAACATTAAATATTAAAATTATTTGGTGATTCCTATTTGCTAATTTTACATGCAGTATTTTCTACATAGAATAATTTTGTATGCAATGTTTCAGGGGCTGGTAACTACCCTGAAATGTTTAGCAGGGTGCCTTATACACTGACCCCATCAGAGCCTTCCTCTTTCCTCTGACAACCCTCCTTGTTGCAGGTCAGAGGTCCCGGGACCTTCAGGAGACCAAGCCAGGAGCAGCAAAGGTAAGGTCATCCATCCTCTCACTGCCCTGCTTGGTCCTCCTGCCCGAGGCCTGAGGGGGTTTGGAGAAGGTAGGCCAGTCTGCCGACCTGCCCTGGTGCTCAGATGGTAAAGAACCTGCCTGCAGTGCGGGAGACCTGGCTTCAATCCCTGAGTCGGGAAGATCCCCTGGAGGAGGGCATGGCAACCCACTCCAGTATTCTTGCCTGGAGATCCCAAGGACAGAGGAGCCTGGCGGGCTGCAGTCCAAGGGGCTGCGAAGAGTCAGACACGACTGAGCGACTAAGCACAGCACCGGCCAGTCTGCAGGGGTGAGGAGGGGAGGGGAGGAGGGAGACAGACACGCAGCTTGGGGGCTTTCCTCTCCTGAACCAACCACTTGTCACTCAAAAAAGAGGGAAAAAAAAAGAAAACCCACAACTATTTTCACGTCTCATCTTCCAGTCTTTGTAGAGATACCGGTTTTGTGTATGGTCTCATGTCAACTGAGGGGAAATAAACCAAAAGATTAACATGTATTTAACATTTCACAGAATGAAACTTTGTTAAAATTGTAATTATAAAGGGTATAAACATGTGTCCAATATAATGCTGAGGTTTTAAAAAAGAGGACAAAAATAGTGTGTATATGCAATATAAGTCAGGTATCTACAAATAGTGAAAGATGAAATCTGAAAATAGTTATGTTGAAATGGAGAGTTAAAGGTGATTTTCTTCTTTCAACATTCAATTGCGTTCTTTTCATTTATATTTCTTTATACTCAATCTATAAGGTCAATTGGGTGGATACTGAGTGGTCAGGATACTTCCTTATCAACTTTAGAAAAGAATCAGATTTTCATATCTGAAACAATTTTAAGTCACTTACCAACTTAGTGTTCTAAACCAAGGTAAGTCATAAGAATGATAAACTCTGTAACCTATGGTGATGATTTCATGGAAGCATTTCACTTGGATGCTTAGAACCTGAAACCAAGAGAAAACATTAACACACAGTTCTTAATGTCTGCATTTATGCTTAATTATTTAATAAGTAACTTGTTGTCACATGTATTTTAAAAATCTTCAGCTACCCACTTTCAGTTATTCTAAAGATCATCAGCAAAAATTCAATATTCAACTTCTCTATAATCAAGTGATGTCCCAAAGAGGTAAGCAAAACAATGTTTTATTCAAAATGTTTGAGAGATCCTTCCCAGGGTAGGCGGTGGCACTGTACTTTAGAATTTGAAGGGTATAGTCTGGCTGGGGTCACAGCTAACTAGGCTTAATCAATCCCTCATTACTGCTTCATTTCTTGAAGTCAGGTGGCTTTTTCTGTCAATTTTGTTTCTTGAGTTATCCTAGGAAAATGATCCTATATGAAAATTTGTTTGTATATGTTTATTTTTAACAAGTTGGTATTCTTGCCAAGGATAAAGATACTATCAAGACAAAGGGCTAAAATATCCTTACTGAGTCACTCAAGGTTTGGCATGAGATTTTCATTCTTCCCACCATGCCAACTCTCCCTCAGCCAGCAACACACATCTCTGATCAACCCAAGCAGTGCTTCCTTGACATATTATAAGCAGCCTTCGATGTCTGCAGCCCCAGTAGCCAGTCAAGTGAGTCTATGCAGTTCTGTCTGCACAGTGTCCAATACACATGCTAAGTAAGTAAGTGAAAGTCACCCAGTCATGTCTGACTCTTTGCAACCCCATGGACCGTAGCCCACCAGGCTCCTCTGTCTATGGAATTTTCCAGGCAAGAATATACTGGAGTGGGTAGCCGTTCCCTTCTCCAAGGGATCTTCCCAACCCAGGGACTGAATCCAGGTCTCCTGCATTACAGGCACATTCTATACCATCTGAACCACCTGGGAGGCCCCGCACATGCTGAGTAAATAGGTTTATATTCATGAACCCCTTTTTGATGGTCTATGTGGCAGTCCCTCAAACTGCTGCATCCAGCAATCTGGATAAAGGTAATTTCTGAGACTATAGCATCATAACCAGTGTTTGGCTTAAGTCAATTCCAAGACTCAAAGAGCCAATGGCAAGCTGAACACTCATCACCAGAAACTAAGAGATCCAAGCCTCTGTCAGTATAGCAGACTACCTTTTCCCACCTCTAGAGAATCTACCCAGGGGTTTATTTTTGTACAGCCCTGGAGCTAAGAATGGACTTTATATCTATAAACAGTTAAAAACAAAACCCAAAGATGATACAATGGAGACATATGTGGCTCCTTAAAGCCTAAAATACTACTACCTGGGCCTTTCCAGAAAGAACTAACCAAACTAAAGAGTACACTTTGGGATTTCTTTTTAAGGTCACCACAAATCAGCTTTCCCAAACCTACTGCCCAGGATAGTCTTAGGTTACTTTTCCCCACTATACCTATTATATGTCCAATGACATACTTGAAAAAGTAATTGTATCCCCTTGGCAAGAAAATATTATGCCAAACTACCATAAATAATTCTTTTAAGAAAAAGCTATAAATGTGTTATAAACAAAAGAGGAAATTTAAATACTGTCCTTCAAATAACCTTTGCATATATTATCAAGTTATTTTTTTTTAACAAAAATAATCACAGAACAGGGACAATGCTCAATGTTGGTAAAATGGCAAAGTTATGTTATTTATAGAACCAAGGGCTTTTAAAATATCACGTGCACTCATGCAATTTCTATGAACACATTTGTTCAAGAACAACCATTAGCTCTATATATGGAATTTCACTGATAGGAGAAAAAAAGAGCTTTTAATATCACACACATATGTGTATACAGTTGTCACTTGTAGCTTATCAACAGAATTAATATGGTACTGTTGGGAAAATAGAAAACAGAGAATTCAAAATAGAGTAAGAACTGGATGACCACACAGAACCTGATGCTCCATGCCACCGACAGAGGTAGCAACGCACCGAAAGGCCTCCGCTGGCCCAATTAATGTGCTAAGAGCATTAAAAAACAATTGATACCTAAGTGCCTACTCTGCTACTTTGGGTTTCCGCGGTGACTCGACAGCAAAAAAACCACCTGCCAGTCCAGGAGATGTGGGTTCTATCCGGGGGTTGGAAAGATCCCCTGGAGAAGGGAACGACAACCCACTCCAGTATTCTTGCCTGGGACATCCCACAGACAGAGGAGCCTGGCAGGCTACAGTCCATGAGATCACAAAGAGTAGGGCACAACTCAGCAACTAAACACCACCACCACTCTTGTTAGTTACTGAAGATTCAGAGAAATAACACAGGCCTTCTCTTCTCAGACAGGAGCAGTCTCTCAGGGAGAACACATGCAGCTCCAGTACGATGTGCAAGCAGCTTGTGGGTACGAGCACAGGCAGACTAGAAAGCTGTGGCGAGGGCGGGGATGCGCCAGCTGGAGCGGAGGAGGAGGACAGCCAGCCACGTACACCGGGGACGGGCGGTGCAGGGAGCTAGACGTAGTCCAGAGAGGCTGGACGCAAAGCTGGGATGAGCAGGAGAGGGAGGCGAGTCTGGTCACAGCGTCACAGCAAACAGCATGAAGGGCTGAGCAACGGAGCTGGTGCTGATCACGGAAGGTCAAGATCAGACCTGAGTGTCTGGGGTTAACAAGTGGAAAGAACTGATGGGAGAAGCAGCAAGAAAAGAGACAGCAAGGCAGGTAAGATACCACACCCAGAGCGGTGCGAATGAGCGACAGAAGAAGACGGACTATAGGAAATCAGAGACATCAAGGAGGTAGAACTGACTGGATTTGGTGGCTGAGGAATCAGAGGGGCAAAGGGAGAGAGAACATAGGGTGATACCAGGGAAGGCTTGAGAAGGAAACAGAGGTATGCAGAATGGCTGGCAAGAGAACACAAGCTCAGATTTGGATATGTTGAGTTTGAACTACGGTACCTATGGGTTATCCAAATTAAAGTACCTATTTTCACTCCGGGAATTTGTTCGAAGAAAATAGCCCTGCACATGAAAAAGCTTTACATTTTAATATGTTCAGGATAAAACTATTCACAATAAAGAAAAACAAGAATATAACTGGAATGTCTAAAAATAACACATTAATTGCTTTAAATAACTTATGATGTTACTGCATTCCACGGAGTAGATGAATGTATTAAAGCTAATGGTTACAAGGACTATGGAGCAACACAAAACATTCAATATTTAGTTTAAAAAGGATACAGCATTTAGTCACATTATATACAATTACAATCATGGTTTTTAAAAGAAAAAAGGATGAAAGGAAATATATCAAATGGCAGTATTAACTTTTGGTCACTGATGATGGGATTGGGAGTGATTTTTTTAATTATTTATTTTCCAAAGTAATTTTATAAATAAACTTTATTATTAATATTTTTAATTAGGTCCATGGCATGTGAGATCTTAGTTCCCTGACTAGGAATCGAACCCACGCCCCCTGCATTACAAAGCAGATTCTTAACCACAGGACCACCAGGGAAGTCCTTCCAAAGTAATTTTAATAAACATTTATAACTCTCACAATGGAAAATGCACTATTTAAATAATGTGCATTAAAACAATTATTATGGGAGTTTCCAGGAAGGGGTATGGGGAACCTCTTATATCTGTCACATGTTCCCATTTCCTTCTTAAACAAGATTGCTTTAGTAACTCCATCACTTAGAAAGTGTGATTCCAAGCTGTGACTGCAACAATTAAAGCACTATAAGTAGAAGGTTGAAGAGGAAAAGCTCCTTTTATTTTAAGGAATGTGGTACAAGTTCCATCTTAAAATAGTATCTATCATTTCCTAGATGTAAGTTTTTAATAAAACTCTCTTGAATTAGTCATTTTTGAATGACGGTATTGTAAGACAAATGCAAGCTAGGTACAATGTGTACTTCTCAAAATATAAAGAACCTAGTTAGGGTTATAAAGGTAAATAAGACTTTAAAATACAGATAGTATCAATTGAGTACCAACAGTGTGTGTGTATGTATATATATATTCATGTTCCCTTAACATAAATATCATAAATACAAAGCATGTATATATGCATGTGTACATGTGTGTGCATGCATGTGCAGTAAGTCTAAGTTAAGAGCAATAACAGTTCAAACATATTTTAACTAGATCTTTAATATTCTTCTCTGATTAAACTCACCAAAGAAATAACCTGTAATACAATGGTATTTTCCTTTCATAGTAGAAAAACAAAAAAAGCCCAAGTACTTTAAATGCGCTTATGATTCTCTTAAAAAATCAGAATCCAAATATGCAAGAAAGCCTTTAAAGCTGTTTTCAGTGCTGTCATAAAAGAATGGTTAAGAATTGGTCTCTATCCACAAATTCTGGCCCTAGCTACCACACCAAATAGTTCAGCTTGGAGAGTAATGTCATTTTGTCACGGGGCACTTGAGTCAACGCCTCCAGGATACTGGTGGTTTATAATCTTTGATCAAAACTACCTTCGAAAGAGGACTAACAATCCAAATGATCCCTAAAAACTTTAAATGGCTCCCCACTGCTTTACAAAATAAACTCTGAACGTCTTCACATAGTATCTCAAGGGCCTCCAGGATTTGATCCCTAATTACTTTTTCCCGTTCAAAGGCCCCAAGCCCCAGGCAAAGGTTTCACCTACCCTTTCCTGTCACACCCAGCCACCGGGACCTTTGCTCACAGTGCTCACTCCAGCCCCACAGGTCCTCAAGGTCTACTCAAAGATCCTTTCAGCCCCAAAGCCTTGAGCTTTTCAGCCCCAAAGCCTTATTGAGCTCTCTGCCATCACCCACCGCTCCTTCCCCCAGCTTGACCACTCTCCACACAGCACTGGGGAGCGCTCAGCACACACTCAGTCCTGAAATGTCACCCCGAGACCGCCAGGAGCCCTCGGGGGTTCAGACTCCGAGGACTGGCATCTGGGGCCCACCCCTCACGTCACACCTGGACTGTGCTCACGCCTGCCTACCGGCTCTCACACTCAGCACCCTCTAGCCTCACAGTAAGTCGGTCCTGTCCATTATCCATCCTTCCGTTGTAAGAAAAAGCTGCAATGTCAGCAAATTAACAGAACAGAGAAAGTAATTTCACATTTATTTTTTTTTTAACCTGGATATGCCAAACAAGTACAAAATTAGTAACAGGATGAAAAGAAAGGGTTTTATGGTCCTTTAAAGAGGTATTCTGAGTCACTTCAGAAGTTGATGGGATTTTTTTTTCAACTGTGTCTGATTTCACTTCCAAACTTCTTTTATTTTCTTAACAAAAATAAAAGGAAAATCATCATATTGCTCCTACAACTTTATCGCTGTGAACAGGAGTAAACAGGAGAGGGGAAGGTAGGTAAACATATTTCTCAGGGTGTCCAGGCAGCCAGGAAACAAACAGGGAGGTAAGATCATAAGAAGGGACTAAACTAACTGAGATGTGTGAATGCATGCTTATTCACTCAGTCATGTCTGACTCTTTGTAACCCCGTGGACTGTAGCCCGCCAGGCTCCTCTGTCCATGGAATTTTCCAGACAAGAATACTGCCGTGGGTAGTTTCTTCCTCCAGGGGAAGCTGGAGATAACTGAGATGGATGAAGACAAACAATAAAAAGAAGGGACATCGGGCATAACCCTGGAGCAGGCCCTCACTGTTCACTGCTAAATCACATTCAGCACCCAGGAAGGGCATGACGAATTTGTTGAACAGAATGTGTTTCTCCTTCTTACTTCTACCACTTTGGACTTCAAATGCTTCATGCTTGTTTGGCGATCAAGGTTTCTATACACAGGGAAACCTTGGCTGTGATGATCCTTCCCCCAAGATCTCTGCTTCACCCCATGACTCCTACTCAGCCTTCAATCACTGTGCTGACGCTGAGCGCTGGATAAAGCCCAGGAAGCCTACCAGCGCCTCTCCGCTCTCAGCTTCCTACCCTTTTGTCCAGAAGCTTACTGCAGCCTGTGATGATACATCTGATCAATTCTTTAGCACATGGACAGTAAGCTCCATGAGGGCAGACAGCCCCACGGCACCACCCTCCAGAACAGCCTGGCATAGTTTTGTTTTTTATTTTACTGTGGTTTCCCAATAGGATCACAGAGTTTATACCACTCATTTACTACACTCTTTATTCACATGGCTACCTACATGTCTCTGCCATCAGACTGAGTCTCTTGAAGTCAGGGATCTAGTTGATAGTCACATATGTTGAAGACGTGTGTGTATTACTTTCTACTGAAAGCTTGGCACAGTTTCTGACACAAAGGTGTATATCTGTTATATGTACTTGGTCTCTGCTGAAAGAACACACTGAATGGCCAATTTGCAAGTGGAAAAGATTAGCCAAGGTCATTTCATAAACCAGAAAATGCCTAAAGGAACTAAATTTGCTGTTACCAAGTCTTGAATCACCTTCTTTTATATGACATACTCAAATTACTTCAATATTAATGCTGTAAAAGGAAGCGAGAGACACTTGGGCAAACACAAAACACTTACAAGAAGCATCAGCATAAAGGATCCCATATAGATGATCAGGAAAAACAACGAAATCATCGTCAGAGTAAGAATTCCACGAATCCACCAGTTTTTCCATCTACAAAGGAAATGTTTGCAAAGTTAGCATGAGTGTATTCTTAAATGCTTGCATCTTGTTTCACTACTGAATTGCCAGACTTAACCGATTACCCTTAACCACACTGTAGGAATTCCCACGCACCTACTTTGCCTTCTACAATAACAATTACCAACCAAATGAAGACCAATTGCTCAGTCACTGAGAGCCAAAGGAAATGTAAAATTTGTTTGCCAAAAGAAAAACCAGCTCACGTTCCACATGAGTGAGAATGGATCCTCTGAGGCTGGGAAGTGAGGTGGCCAACAAGGATGTCTACACAAACCGCCTGGGGTCGTTGGGATGGGAAGGAGGGGCCACGTGCACAGCCCACTCAAAGGATGTCCATCCTTCGGGGTGGTTGATATAAATGGTAATGATGTTACGGTGGGGTACAACAGACAGCACGGCCTTCTAATGAGAAGAAGTAAAGGAAGGGCGATGCAGAACTGAAACTGGAGAGATTAGCAATTTCAGGAAAAAGAGGAAGGTGTGGGGAGGTCAGACATTGAGGGCAAGGCCAACCAGAAGGTCACTTCTTTCAGCTCAACTTCTTTCAGCCTGTTTTCCTGAGGGACAGAGCCTTCAGCGGTAGAGTATTCTCTTCTCCTTGGGCCTTTGCTGTCTTAGAGCAGGGCTCCCCCGAGTAAAAACCGTGGCTGGTCCCTGGTAGCTGAGCGGGACTTGACCTGCTCAAACCTCTGCTGTTAGTAAGGGCCTGGGAAGCCCATCTCCCCCCACACAGGGGCGCCACACATACCCCTAGGGTACCTTACAAACAGCTGCACTCCTTCTGTGGCTATGTCATGAAAAATGTCAGCAGACCCTGTATGAAACACCCCAAATTGTGCTAATAACACCTATAGAAGGAATATTCATTGGAAGGACTGATGCTAAAAGCTGAACCCCTAATACTTGATGTAAAGAGTCGACTCATTGGAAAAGACCCCGTTGCTGGGAAAGACTGAGGGCAGGAGGAGAAGAAGGCAATAGGGATGAGATGGTTGGATAGCATCACTGACTCAATGGACTTGAGTAAACTCTGGGAGACAGTGCAGGACAGGGAAGCCTGGTATGCTGCAGTCCATGGGGCTCCATTCATTTTACATTCTACTAATAATTTCTGATTTCTATTAATCCATATGATAACATTTAAATTATATCACAGACATTTTGTCCCAACATATGATAACACATCAGTTCAGTTCAGTTCAGTCGCTCAGTCGTGTCGGACTCTTTGCGACCCCATGAATCGCAGCACACCAGGCTGCCCTGTCCATCACAAACTCCGAATTTACTCAAACTCATGCCCATCGAGTCGGTGATGCCATCCAGCCATCTGATCCTCTGTCGCCCCCTTCTCCTCCTGCCCCCAATCCCTCCCAGCATCAGACACAGGCACACCCTATTCTAAGTATTCTCCACCCTATAACAGAAGTATTAGCTGATTCCATTCATTTGTCAAACACTAATTACATTCCCTGTCTTCAGTCACTCTCCTGTATAGTCTAGATACCCAGATCTACTCTTCCCTCAAAAATCCCTTTGATCACGTACTTTCTGCTCACAAGACCTAAAATGCCAACATTAAGTCCAAGCTCTTTTAACTTGTTTTCAAGGTTTTGCACAAGTTTGTCAGGTTGTACTTACCCAACTTTATTTCCCTCTCCTGCTTAACTCCACATGTAGACTCATACATTTTTCATGAGACTGAAAGCTTTGGGGCTGTGCTGAAAAGCTACAGCTGAAAGGTTCCATTTGGCTTTATAGAACAAACTCTCTGAGGAAGAATGAATGGACTATGAAACTGAGCTAGGTTGCAGAGCTAGTCAGAGGTAAATAAAGGACCACAAGCCAATCTGTGGGTAATAACCCTGTCTTGTTTGCATGAATCTCAGAAAGGTACTTAGCCCTCTCCTTCATAACTGATTCTCAGACTCAGAATCACTGAGAACATTTTTCAGACAAAGGACACTACCCAAGTGTCAGAAATCAGGCCTTGGTGGGAACGGCAAGGTCCATGTGCACCTCTAACACTAAAGGGCTGGCCTTGAACATCAGAGAACCAGAGATTTAAACAGGGACCTACTCTCTTTTATTATACCAATGCTACTCCTCCCAGAAAAGTTCCCCAACAAGATCAAAGACTTACTTGCCTTATTGTAATTTAAATGACTCCCCAAACCTCCCAAGAAAACCTAATACAAAGTTAAGCACATAAAAGCAGAGATTTAAACATAATATATGTATGCACCGATAAGGTAACCAAAAGTTACCTCTCAAGGGAGAAGCCGTTAACTCCAAACAGAGCTCTGATATGCAAAATATATGTACCATTGGTACTAAAATCCAGAGGAAAGTCTAGTTCCAAACTCAAAATTCCTGACTTCCTTTACCATGCCACCATGATCACCTTAGAGGAAGCCTTAATTTTGAGTCCAGGTCATCACCTCACAGATTGTTTTAGATCAAGGAACGCAGAACCAATAGAGGAGAGTTTCATTCAAGTCTCCCATCTCCAGGACCTCTGTGAGCTAGAAATGAAGTTTCTAAAAAGTACATAATTAAGCAGTGATCTTTGCCTGGAAAATCCCATGGACAGAGGAGCCTAGAGGGCTACAGTCCATGGGGTCGCAAAGAGCTGGACACGACTGAAGCAACTAAACAACAACAAGCAGTGTCCTTAAAGGCAATTATCTAAAGCGATGACACATTTATTGCTCAAATCAGTTATGTGACGCACAACGTCTTATTGTTACTACAACTCTTCAGGGGTTTTTATTTCAAAAGTAATAAAACAACAAAGATGTTTTTTCTCCTTGTGGTACAAGTATCATGAGTTGTCAAAGACCTAGGCTGACAAGGCAGTTCCCCTGCGCCAAGAATCACAGCACAGAGGCATCTTCGAGAGCAAACAAGAAGTTGATGGGCCATCTAGCAAACAGTAGGGTTTTAGAGAAACCCCATCTGCCAGCCTCAGGAGGAAGTGGACAGGAAGCGTGCAGGTTCCCAGGGAGAAGGAAGATGGTGTGAGAGAGTCCAAGAGCATCAGCAAGACTATGCCTGGGTATCTTCAGGGGCTCTCCACCTTCACTAGTGACATTTGGGCCACATCATCCTCTGCGGTGAAGAGCTGTTCCGTGGACTGTCGGACGTCCCCTGGCACCTACCTATGAGGAGCGAGCAGCACCGTCTCTTACTGACAACCTAAAACGTCTCTGTGCATGCGTCCTCAGCCGTGTCCGACTCTGTGACCCCATGGACTGGAGCCCTCCAGGCCCCTCTGTCCGTGAGATTCTCCAGGCAAGAAATACTGCAGTGGGTTGCCGTTTCTTCCTCCTGGGGATCTTCCTGACCCAGGGTTCAAACCCTCGTCTCCTGCGGCTCCTGTATAGGTAGGTGGACTCTTTACCCCTCAGCCATCTGGGAAGCCAGACATTGCTAAATGTTCACAGGTTGTGGGGGATGGTACAAAACCCAAGGCCTCGCCCCTGGAAAGAACTACTAAGTGAGAGTCATTGCTGAAGAAGCTCTTCACTAAAGGAGAAAGCCAGCCACTTCACCGGCTAATGAATATTCCTTTCCACAGATCCACGCAAAGGTCAAGAAACAGACTGGGGCACCCGCCAAGGGCCTGAAGACTTTTCAGGCTCCTTCCAGTATCAAGGGCTCATGCTCTTTCTGGCATTATATATTAGAGTCTTAAAAATGAACATAAATCTTGCCCAAGGAATTTCACTTTGAAGATTTCATCTGGACTCTGAACAAGATGGCGGAGGAGTAGGTGGACGTGAAGTACCTTCTCCCCATGGATACATCAGGAATACACCTTCAGACACAGAAGGGCTTGCAGAACACAAAAAGCTGAGCGCAGACAGGAGTACCTGACCACCGGAAAAGAACTTATAGGGCCACGCAAAACTCAGTAGGATGAAGGAAGTAGGGGGGAAAAAAGGAGAGTTAGTAGGACTGGACCTGCCCTCAGCAAGTGGGGGAACTGAAGCAGGGGTCTGATTCCCACAAGCAGAGGAGAAACAACTGAGGCTGGGAGTGAAGCAGCTGATCTGCGACAGCCCAGATGAAATGAGAATCACACAGACAATCCTTGTCGCAGCCATACGTACCCCAGACAGGGACGCATGTTTCCCAGAAGGCACAGCGACTGTGGGGCAAACCCAGCGAGAGGTCTGCTGTTGACTGTGGGTAGTTGGCCCGAGGGGACATGAGGGAGGAGACTGTGGTGGGAAATGCCTGTGGAGGAAAATCAGGCAGCCATGGAGGCAAGCCGGTACTCCTGAGTCATGAGCAGGGGTGGCGCCATCACCGTAGCCTCTCTCTCCACACGCCTGCGCTGGCAGCTGAACAGAGAGGTTGGTCCATCAAACGCCCGAGGCCCCAACAACAGAGAAGGACCCCAAATAGGGGAGCCCTTTTAGTGCCTTACGCACAAAACACCAGAGGAGGACCCCAGTCAGCGGGGCCCCTTTATGTGCCTGACACACGAAGCAACTGAGGCCCCCAGGCAGGGCGGCTGTCTAAGTGCCTGACGGGCAGAGCAACCGAGGAGGATTAGCCAAAAGGGCCTTCCGATCGCCATCCGCCAGAGGCTAGAAAAAGACTCTGAGAGCCCCTTGGACTGCAAGGAGATCCAACTAGTCCATCCTAAAGGAGATCAGTCCTGAATATTCATTGGAAGGACTGATGCTGAAGCTGAAACTCCAATACTCTGGCCACCTGATGCAAAGAACTGACTCATTGGAAAAGACCCTGATGCTGGGAAATATTGAAGGCAGGAGGAGAAGGGGGCAACAGAGGATGAGATGGTTTGATGGCATCACTGACTCAATGGACATGGGTTTGAGTAAACTCCAGCAGTTGGCAATGGACAGGGAGGCCTGACGTGCTGCAGTCCATGGGGTTGCAAAGAGTTGGCCAAGACTGAGTAACTGAACTGAGGGCCATAGCTCCTGCGGCTGAGGCAG